AACGTCTTAAAATATAATAGATTTTATAATTCCAATGGAAAAACAGTACCGATTTTTTTTGCATGGGGACTGATGCAGTCTAATATATATATATATATATATATATATATATATATATGTATACATATGTATATCCATAGCTTTCCCGGAAACGGCTGTAACGATTTTGATGAAATTTTGTACACAGATAATATTTTGGATTCTGTGGTTATCTGAGTGGGCACTATCTCCGAGAAGACTCGTGTAAGGTTTTCACCTGTTCGAAATTAGTTACAAATTAATTAAAACAATGATATTTTAAAGATCTTTATTTCAAAAATATTTTTATTAGGGTTGTCACCTATTTTTAATCGCAAATTTATTTAATTTTTTGTTTAGAAAAAAAGGTAAAATATTACTTTTCATAGGTCCCAAGAGAAGGTTTTTAAACAATGCCTTCCCTACATACAAATCTTATTCCTTAGGATAATAGTGTAAGGTTGCCACTTATTTTCTATTCTACACAATTTATCTAAAGCATCGCAAAATGGTTATCAAATGAAAGATATTGTTGAGAACTTTGGTCAGAAAATATTTTCCATCACGGTTGCCAATTTTAATTAGCCTTTTTTTTTATGTATACACAGTACATATACGCTCAAGATATGTACCATTCATTCCAGCGCATTTCGGAATAGGAATTGGCACCTTGGCAATTTTGGAGTAGGAAATTTACTTAAAAGATATCGCAATCCAATTTTATTCCAAAATTATTTTTTTAAAGCCATCCAAATCTTGGAAGCTTTAAAAAGTATATGCACTCCGGGCAAAGCTTGTAAATATTTTCCCAATAAATGCTTCAAATAAGTGATGGGCTTATATTAAGTTATTAATAATTAATATTAAGTTATTTAAAGTAACTGTTTCAGATAAAGTAACCGTTTCTCGACTGCCGAATGGTTGAAGAACGCCCTATGTCAGAATTTGGTTCAAAAATGCCTTATCTCAGCTGCCGCTTCGAAAACGCCCTGCACGGCTGTGGTTTTAACGCTCGATCTGGCTGGTTTAAACTGAGATTAGCCAATCAAATATTATCAGCCAACTGTTCAATTTAAACACAGTTTACGTGATCTAAATTAAAACTGATACTGAAAAACAGGCCCATAATAAATCCAATATATCAGCAGCTGAGAGTTTAGTGATGCCTTAATCCTAAAGCAAAATAATTTAGGTATTTTGGGGTTGCTAAATACCAAATACTAATATACTAAGGTATTTAAAAGACTTCTAATACTAGGCGGTTCAGAAAAAGCAGTAATTTTGCTTTTTATTTTTTAGGCATTGACAAAAAAAATTTCTCCGTATTTTTGAGGATTTTCAAGTTTCTTCGTTCTTTACTTTTCGGGATTTTTTAAAGAACTTTTGGAACGTTTTTGAATTTTTTTTTAATATTTTGTTTTTCGGGACCTTTTGAGACTTTTCTGGGATTTTTCCGGACTTTCGGAAATTTTCTGGATTTTTGAGACTGCTTCAAGATCATCCTAATTTTTCGGCACCACTTTTGTAAACAGTATTAAGAGATGCCATACGAAGTACATTTGGTCCTAACTTAAAAAAAAAAACTTTAGCAATTCATATACTGACATGTTCCGTGAGACAAATCGTTATGCAATAAATCAAAATTTTTCAATTTGGGTAAAAAAAATAAATAAAATTATTGGTAATTTTACTTTTATTTTAAGGATTGACAATATATTGAAATGTTGCGCGATTTGTGCCGCTTTACGAAACTTTGTAAGTTCTTCGCTACATTTTTTGGTACTTGAAATTTTCCGGTATTTTTCGTTTTTACTTTTCGTTTAACTTTTTCGGGCTCTTTGACAGCATTTTGCGAGAATTTTCGGGATTTTGGCGAATTTTCAGGGCTTTCGCGATTATTTCCGGACCTTCGGCACTACAGTATGTAGGTAAGCCGGACTTAAGTCCTAAACGGACGTTCCGCATAATATGTCACAGATTATGAAAACGCTAGACGGGTACCATAACAAATTTTAGGTTTTGAGTAAAAAAAAAATTATTCGAAAAAATTATAACGGGGATTACTTAGTGCAACCATGAATACTAAGTACTTTTGTGAATACAAATTACTTTTGTGCTTAGGATTCCGTTAGGTACAAGTAACAAAATACTTTGATACTCTATACGTATTGGGTCGTGTGAAAATATGCACTAAAAACATTAAGCACACTTATCTAAATACCCTTAAACTTGGTATAGGCACATCACTGCTCAAAATCTTATCCATATACATATGCAAAAAGTATGTTTAAAACTGAAAACGACTTATTCGATGTGGAAATTCAATAATTTAGAGCACAAACACTTTAATCAGCCACATTTCACATACAGTAACTTCTAGAGAATACTCAAAACTATTCGCTGTGGAAGCCACAAAAGTCGCGAAAATTTTCAATTCCAACTTATGCCAGATCCAACTTTCTCAGTCGCTATCACTCAGCAGCAAAACCTAGCCTTGGCGATGGGTGGACCTCAGTTACGCAGGTGAAATAATTTTGTGCAAAACTGAAATCTGCTTCTTCTTAATTTATTTCAACACGCGTATGCATGTATTTGCCTTAGCGCCATTCTAGCCGGCAATTTCAATGAAATTCAATCAATTGCTCAATTAGAATTTGCCAAGTTAAATTACGCGCGCCGCCAACGACAAGCAGACTTTTTCAAACTACAAAATCACGAAGCAGCTAACCCAGCTGTTAAATAAGTTTTAAATATCACAGGACGACGGCGTTTTTTCTTTTGTTTTTAAACTCTCTCTCTCTCTCCTCTATCGCCGAGCCAACCAACCAACCAACCAGTCAATGTCATTAAATAGTCGCTATTACTTTTGTTTGCAAGCACGTCGCGTCGTTGTTTTGCGCACGTGTCCTTCGAAGGCAGCAAAATTTTCAGCTTTGCAAATTTTTACAGCTGAATAGTTGCTAAGTAAAGTAAAACTTTAAGAAAATTAACGCAGTAAAGTGATTATAGTTAGATTATTTTTTCTTTCTTTTTTACATATATATGTATGTATATTTATACGTCATCCTCATTTTAATATTTTGCAGAATTTCAAATAA